ATATTTGGCCACCATAACGAATTTATCACGTATCTTCTCATCTCATTTCTTTTATATTTGACACTCTAGTATGTTGTTCATAGCATATCCGATATATTTCTTACAATTTCACTTAGTTGTGTTTAATGGGATGTAATCCTTGCTATGATTCGATGGTCTCAAAAATTATAATAGCTTCCAGTCAACTTGGGTGTTCAAAGGAGATAATCACCATTGCTGCTGTTCTTTCCGTCCAAGTAAATCTTTTTTCCCTAGTCATTGCTATTGTTTTGTAAACAAATTTCATACATTTTTGTTACAATCTTTTATTTTTTTTGCTGAAGTTGGGAAATGTTAAAATGAAATCTATCAGTATATCATCTTAAAAGTATAGTTAAACATTAATGTATAGAGTAGTTGACCTTAATTTCAAAACTCTATGTATATAGTCCATCTGGATCTCAGAGAGAGATACAAAAGGAATATGATGAAGCAAAATTGAGATTTGCTGCTGCCGAGGTAATTTAACTTAAGTCTATGTATATTTATATCTTTTGATGATTGGTACATACATGGTGACCATGTAACGTTCTTTAATGTATACAAGGGGTTTCATCAATCTGATAAATCTTCACAGTGGTGTCACAAGAACTATGTAAATTATATAAACAATATAGGCATTTCAATATAGTTCATGCGCTCGTTTCCTTTCCAATATTGATGTTGACATGGCTGCTTAAATTTCACAGAGAAACGTTCTTGAAGTTAGAGAACAATTCAAAAGAACTGCAAAGAGGATAAGACTAGTCTTGAAATCTTGTGAAAGTGATATGCGGGCAGGTTGGTTTTCTTCAATTATACTTATGGTTTTGATTATTTTTTAAAAAGACTATTCAATATTCTCTTCTCTTGATTTATTGTCTGGTGGGTGGTCAAATAGTCAAATTTAATGAAATCTCTGCCCTAGTGTAATCATTATTTTACTAATTATATATCTATATCTGGAGTTCATGTTGGAAGATACTAATTAATGTTTATTTTCTGCTTAATTTAATGTACTGCATGGTGTATCCTAATCTTGTTATCTCTCTACTGCTCAAGTTTTGTCAAGCTTTATTAATTTGTTCTTGTATGTGAATTTGGATTAACAGTTTGAAAAATCAGCTGACCCGGAGCTTCCTGGGCATCTTCTACTGGAACAGTATCAGGTATTTAACAAGATGTGCCAAATTTGTTTTCCCTGGCAAGATTTCCGAAATTGCTTCTGTAAAGCCAATTGTGGGCTTCCCTTGAACATTTCATAAATTATTATTTGGAAGTTGCAAATATATTTGCAAAGTTCCTCAAGTTTGCAATTAAATATAGCTCAGTAGTATTTGAAAATTTCATATACTAACAAGTGGAATCATCAGTGGAGATCAAGTGGTGGTCAAGCGCATATTCTCGTTAATTTCTCGACCTTTTTTCCAAAAAAGCTCAAATATTCTGGGAAAGTACTGGATCCATACATTGAAAGATTATAGTTATATATGCTTATGCCAAAAAGGTGTGCCAGAATTTTTGCTGGGAATTTCATTTTGTTTATTCAATTGAATGTGTTCATTAATAGAGTATATTATTATAAAATGATTGGATGAGATCATCGTACAGGAAAATTGATTGAATGTTAAATATAAATATATGATTTTATTTATTTTTTAAAAATGATTTTTCGGTGGTTTTGGAAAACTCTGGTAATTATCGGCTGTTTTGAAAAACTTCCGATAATTATCGGTGGTTTTGAAATATTCCCGGTAATTACCAACAGTTTTGAAAACTGTCGGTAATTTTGACGCTGTTTTTCCCAATGATTTCTGTAACTGCGGAAAACGTATTTAATGGGGTTAAAACTTTCAGTAACGTAAAAAAAAAATCCCTAGTAAAATTAGACATTTTTGTAGTGATATATACACGTGCCTTTTTGATTGAAGAACATTCATTCAATAACAAAAAAAAGTTAATGTGTTTGTGGCAGATAGTTATTCATCGTCATCTTAATAACAACTTTTTGTATTAGTTTTTTTATTTGTTAGTTTGGATTTTTTGTTATATTTAAACAATTTTTGTTAGTTCAGACTTTTTTTATATAATTAAACAACTTTGTTCAATTATAAATTTCGTGGAAAGATGTGAGATTTTATATGTATGAGAGTGTATCATTTTACAATGAATTAACAATAACCGTGAAATATTTATACATCTTTTCACATTATACAAATATTAGGATTGGAGTAAGTCAATATAATTGGTAGTAACAACCATAAACGGTACAAATCTTTGCATCCTACTTGTATAAAAAGATTATCACAATCATGCCTCGAGATAATAGTAGGCTGAAAACCTTCTTGTAGGTGAATTTGTAAAATTAATATTAGTATATACAAGTTATTTTAAAATGAAACTAAAGAATAATAACATTACTTACACGAAATGACATCCATGCATGTGACCAATAATATTAATTGATGTTGTCTTATATAAGAAGGTAGTGTGCTAGTGGGAAGATATTATATCGATTAGCAATTAGCGTAACCAATGTCTGATAGTCATCCACTTGTCCATATTAGTTTGTAAGGAATGAAACAAATTGTTATGAAAGAAAGATGTAACAAATAATGAATAAAGTGTCAAGTATAGGAACACTGATGATTATGGCTCCATTAGCAAAGACCTCTGAGTTCTTCAAGTCGCTCATAGCTTCCCACTAGTGTTGCGTATTCATCAAGCCACTAACTAAGTTCTATAAATAGGTCATGTCGGATAAGGGATCATGACTCTTCACCCAGACCCAACGACGCAACAATTCATCTATAACCATAATGACCATCAACAACGACATCAACAATATCGAGAATGTAAAGGTGACAAATTTCACAAAACTGATCTATCATGGACACTCTCCTTCATTGCATAAATTTAGCCTTAGATTGCAAATATGTTTTCTCAAATGAAGTTTCATCAGTGAATGCAAGGCGTCTACGTGCTAAAAATATGAGGGGTCACACTTTATAGACCTTTCATTCGAACTTATGCAATAGAGGTATCATATATGTCATTATAGGACAAACAATTTTAAGTAACTCTCTTGATGTTCACTTTTTGTCCAATGTTAACCTTTTTGAAACGTTCTTGTACCATATCATGTTCACGTTGAATAAATAACTCTAACTGCGATTCATTTGATACAATATTTAAAAAGTTTAATCTGGTCCACATGATATGAATTTCAGTGAGAGGAATCATCCTAGGGTTATATCGTGCTAATTCACAAGCCTAGGGTAGACTGTAGGTTCGTCTCAAAACACATCCACAACTTCTACTATCCAGTCTTATATGTTTTACTCAATTGAACTCCTCAACAATGAGTCCCAAAGTATATCTCGACACACATCCAACAAGTCTTTTTATCTATTTCCATTAAAAACTTCACTTATAAGATTAAGACTTATTTCAAACGATGCCTTTATGTTATTATGTTGGAGGATGATGGCGTGATGAATAACATCCCAACATGAATGCTTCTCAATACTTTCCTGAGGCTCTAGTGAGCAAACTCAATTCTGATAGACATAGCATGAAAATATCATAAAACGTATAACATAAATAACTAAATAAAATAACATTAAAACATATATGTTTGATGTTGTGTTCCCTAAATGCACAACTCTGTTTGTTCACGTCTTTTGAAAAGTATGACTTACACGAAATAATCCAAGTGTGATTTACATATTTAAAGATTAAAAGCCACGAACTACAAGCATCAAATCCATGTCTTTGTCACTAGTAATCACATGTGGATTGTCCTCAAATGTCATAAATAAACTTCTAAGCCTTTCCAAAACCCAAGTGAAATTATTTTGTTGTTCACTTGATAAGAATGCAAAGGCCACTGAGAAGCTTAACCTTGCAGATGTCACACCAACAATCTTAAGCAAGGGCACCCGATATTTGTTTGCCTCGTATGTCGTATCCATTAAGAAAACAATATTAAATGCATTAAACAATTTCACCGCATCAGGATGTGTCCACAAGAGGTGACTTACCACCTCAGATTCATTAACACATATACTTCAATGAATGTATTTATCACGATCTAACATCATCATCAACTACTGTAATTCAGTTATTGATCATATCAATTATCGTTTGTATGTATGCCTTGCATTATATATTTGCTTGATTGTTGTGACATTACAATCATTATTTTCTTTCAAAGTCAGTAGAATATTTTCAAGCTTCACTTGACTCAATAAGTAATGATTGTTCAGTGGGATTTAACCTCCCAACAAAAGGGGGACTAACTAAACTCTCTACCAAATCATGGTTATAATATATGCATATTACCTTCAATACTTACCCTTCTCCATTAGAATGTGACTTTCCCCTCAACTTGAAAGGACACTCACAATTTCTTGTGCCATATATACTCGGCTGAACATTAAGTTTGTATTTTCTATACTTTTCACCCCTTTCACATCCTAACAAGACCAATATCTTTCTTCGAGGTTCACCATTAGTTTTGTTAGATCTTATAGTTATGACAACAAACCCAAGATGAAATGCAATCCCTTGAACTCATTCAATTAAGTCATCTTGTGAGAAAAATATTTGATCAAATGTCAAATTATTTGTGTAATCTCCTTCCACTACTTCATTGATGAAAGAAAACATTCTGTCGCAAAACTCAAATTTACTCATGAATTTATATCGAAAGGATAATATTCTCTTACAATATAATCACCTATAACATAATATATCCACCACTGCAATACCTCATTTCATTGATAACAATACTAATAATAATACTTAAAAGAATAAAAAAAAATTCTAACAAATTTAAAAGTAAATTAAAATAATACAACTAAAAAAAACCAACCTTAATCGGGTTTCTAAATTCGATAAGGCTTTCACTAGATTTCGAAATCTGGTGAGACCTTCAACGGATTTTGAAATCTGCTTAAACTTTTATTGGATTTCAAAATTTAATGAAACCTTAATTGGATTTCAAAATTTGGTAAGATCAAATTTTGAAATCCAATGAAGACAAAAGTCCTTGATTTTTTCTAACCAAATTTCTAAATTCATGAATTTCTTAAATGGCTTTCGACATCCAGTTTGCATCCTAAGCTTAGAAATGCAGAAAAACCAACTTTAACCATGTTAAAATACGTTACTATGATTCCACAAAGAAGAAGAAGGGGTCACAAAGAGGAGCACGAACACTAGGGCATTAGGGAACAACCACTGCACACCACGAAGATAAGTACCAGGAAGGAGAAATGGACCACTAGCATGATGAAGGAGAAACTGAACAACAAAGTCATTGGGAATGCAGGACGAGAGTAAATATAGTGATAGAATTAAATCAAATTTGGTAAGCAGTAATTACTGCTTACTTACTTTTTTTTTTCTTCATCATTTATTGGGAGGTAGATCTGTTCACGTTTAAAAGAAGGGTTAATAAGCTTAATTTTTACCTTAATGGGAAGAAGGGTTTGAGATGCAATGAGAAACTCGTTTAAAAGATTTTTACCTTAATTTTGTTTTTCAAACTTAATAAGCTCAAAGAATATTTGAAACATAACAAATTTATGGGCATTTCTTTATGTACTGCTCTAATTTAATGTGCATCTCATGGGTGGTTAAATAACACAAACACCATTAATGTATAATACATATTTTTAACCTAATTTTTTGTTTCTTTCCCATTTATGTCTCTTCCTTTCCTTGTGGTTATTGTTCTTTCCTCCATGTCAGTGTTCTAGACCGGTTGCGGGCACCCTTTTCGTTTCTACCATCAACTGTTTTTGTCATAGTGTTTTACCAATGTTATTGTTGTAGTAAGAGAAGGTTCTTATTTGAATTTCTTTACTTTTGTTGTTGTTTACATTCTAGAATTACAATTTGAGGAAATGACTAGATTTTACAAACTATAATGTTTTCCAAAAGTAAATGTTTTTTTTATTGTGTAATGTAGAAGACATTTCTGACTTTAGAAATACATTTGAATTGCTCTTAAATATACTTTTCAAAATTTAATAGATTTTAGATTGTGTAATTTAGAATACAATTTTAAATTTAAATATATTAAATCTTTGAAATATACATTTGGAGTAATACATTTTGCTTGTTAAATTTAGAATGCATTCACTTTTTTATGATTTTTTAAATAATTAAATTGGATAATATATGATTTATTTTAATATAGACTGACATGTACTAAGATAAGAGGTGATGTCTTTCATGGTAGGAACTACTATGTCAGTTTGTAGGAGAGAATGTTGATGTCAGTGATGCTAATGTAATGGATGACATACTTAGTTGTGATATTTAGATTTGTGGTAGGAAAATGTTATTTTAATAATTTTTTTAACAAATTTTTTGATCATTTTTTATAGGGTTAAATATGTTTTTAGTCCCTAAACTATTGGCCGTTTCTGGTTTTCGTCCCTCTTTCAAAGTAAGGTACAATTTGGTCCTCATTCTTTTCGAAACGTTCATTTTAGTCCTT